ATTCAAAGGAGGATGGTGGCGTAAAAATGTGAAAACGGATATCATTTCTATAGAATTTTTAAAAATTGATCTCTCATGGATGCTTTTTGTGCCAGAAATCTCGAAAGATATGGGATAACGGACTAACGGTAGACAGTGGTACGACTATACACAGGTTTATAACGACACCTAGTTGCAGAAGTGGATAGACATTGTTTAAGTTCTCTGTGTAATGGGTGAGTGACGTCTGATAGGATATTGTTGCAAAAGTTTTCGCAGGATGGTCATAAAGTTGAGCTAGTGTAAATAGGGAATACCACTTTTGCGCGAAATAATTTGAACAGACCGGTGTAGAATTGGGTAGTCCTTAACTCTAAGACCAGCAGATAAAACTGTGGAGCAGTGAAGAAGATGAAGGACAACACAAGAATATACAAATCGGGTGAGTAAATAAAATAAATATGGTGGAACTTTTAAAGATCATAAGAGGGAACTAAAGAAGCACAAAAGTGGAATCCTTTTAAAAGAAGAGTTGAAAAGAGAATTCCACTTGAGATCTGAGCAGATAGTCACACCGAGGTATTGTAGAGAACATACTAGGGAACAAACTGGTTACCGACAAAATGTACGGAGCAATTTGTTTCAAAAGAATGTAGTCGTTCTGCTTTGGTTAGTGAGAAGTTGATATCCCTAAATTCAGAGGCGTTAATAGATAATTTGGTATAAGAAGACCATAAGCTTCAAGTAGACCAATTTGTTTGAAGCTGTGAGAAACGGAAATCATCATCGGAATCTGGAAACCATGCTGGTTGTCAACATAGTGCAGAACAATCTCTTTTAAAAGAATGTAGCCGTTCTCCTTTGGCGAGCGAAAAGGTGACATCGCTACACTTAGATGCATTGAGAGATAACTTGGAAGACGAAGACCATAAGTTTAAGGCAGATAAACTAGCTTGGAGATGTGAGAAGCGGAAATCACCCTGGAATTTGGAACCGATTGTGACATCATCACCATGCTTGATAAGAAGGTCATCTGGGTTAGTGGGAAGGTCACGAATATAGAAAGAGAAAAGAAAAGGGGATAGAAGTGATCCCGGGAACGCTCCTGAATTGACCGGTAACCAGGGAGAAGTTGTTCTGAGAGACCTCAAAAGGTGTGTTTTACCAGTAAAATAATCTTGGGGTAGAAATAGGAGAGTAATGGATAATCCAACACTATGGAGTAAGGACAAAAGTTACTCCCTGTTGGCACAAATAAATACATTACTGTAGCTGTGAAAACACATGAAATGCAGAACCATGCCTGTCTATGGATTGTAAAAACTGAATTTACCAAGTGCGAAAGTGCGTCTAGGATAGAACGTTGTTTTCAATAAGCGGATTTTCTGTGATCTGAGTGCCCTGTGTCAGGAATAATATTATTAGGCGTAAACTTTGCAAAAATCTTTAGTAAAACGGAACTGCAGCCGATTGGACACATTATTTCTCCTGTTGAGGCTTGTGAGTTTCACACAAGACATTGAATGTATTTTGTATGGGGTAATTGAGGTTCGATCCCCTGCCTGATGATACACAGCTCGCTTCCGGCAGGCGAGGGTGTGTGTGTGGGGGGGAATAAAACTGACACGCGGATAAAACGCATCTCACCTCGGGGCATTCATAACCCTCAGAATGGGTGAGATCCACGTAACAGTACCAATCATCCATAGATCATTGATTGTGCATTGGAATACTCAATTGACAGTATAAGACGATGTATAATTGTGTAATGTGCTCATGCTTTACGAAGGCATTTGTGCAATACATGCGTCTGAAACATGCCCGTGCACACAGACGAACACAGTCACAATACTGTCCATTGATACATATCTGTCGTGTTGCTGCGGAAAGTGCGACCAACAAGCTTCTTTTAGTAGCAGTAGCTCTTACCAGTTGGAGTCTATTCGGTCCGTTTTCAACCAACCAACTCCCCTGTAGACATACCCGCTTACAAAGGAGCATAATACAATTGCGATAATTGAAGTAGTTTAGTAGGAATACGAGAACCCGTACCGTAATGCTCAGAACTGAATTGGCTCTAACCCGAACTGCGGAAACCAATGAAATACACGAGGATTTGATAGCAGCAAATGCTTATGTTTATTGATAGAATGAGAGCATGTTTTATAGAAGGTAATAGGCCATATAATTGGTTGAACGAGCGTCGTCCAATCACGTAACCGTTTGCGCCGACGGATCATATGTGCTAATTCGGATGTAATGTTCGCCCGGTGTACCATTGGTCGAGCTTCCTGAACGGTGATTGGATGACATGAAGCTGTACCTGGTCGTGCATGGATTGCGGTCACGTAAATCTGAATCACCACAACAATACAGTGAAATAACGCGGTATCTTGCACTTTAAGTCTATACATGCTTTCTAATGGCCTACCGAAATCGGCCGGTTCTAAATGGTGGGCAAATATAGTGTCGGATGAACGGAATATAGATAGATCTAAAGTATTCGAAAACGACAGCTTACATCTGATGTGGACACGAAACTTTTAGAAAGTTATGACAATAAATAATCTGCGGATGGTGGAAGCGTGAAGCAGCACAGCTGTTTTATCCGTCTTGTTGAGAACTGCCGACTCAACCCATTCACCGCATCCGATGGGATTCGAATCCGGTCACCAGGGATTGTTAATTTGACGAACCAAACACTTGGACAACAATAATTGATAGAGAGTCATATGCAACTCCGGTTGGACATCGTGGATATTGGTATCTGTTACAGTGCGTTTTATTGAATGAGGTCTCTGGTTAAATTAATTTTTTCCAGAAAAGATCAATAGAAAATTGAAGGAAACGTTTCATTCATTCACGTGACAGTCAGTAGTATGCAAGTCAAAAACTGGCAGATAAAGCATAATGTAAGTTACATCAATGTGCGATAAAAAAAATGCACGAGATTTGCCAAGCGAAACGGGTAGTCGAATATCATTTTGTTGATCTAGGGCACTAGGCATTTAGCAAAGTGAAAGAAAGAACTGATTTATTTTGTTTGCAGACGGAACTGAGCTGTTAGACGGATACTTAACTCCATACGCAGTGATTATCCCACCAGGAGATCAGAAATCCATTGGAATAAGTTCAGCCCCTAATTTCCATTGAAAATTTGACGTATACGTCAATGTAGTTTCCCCCCGAAACCTTCAGTAGGTTACAAGCCCGTATTTCTAACGTAACAGAGAACGCAGATTTCGAAAATCAATACGAGCTGAAAATTCGATTATTACCACCTGAATGTAATTAACAGTGATTCGCTTGAATGGCTTTTATACGATTAGTTCGACTATGCTTCAGTGAACTAG